TCCCATTAGCAAGGATCCCAATTTCTCCACATTCTTGATAACACTTTTTTTTAATTTCAGCCATCCTGGGTATGTGTAAAGTGGTATCTCATGTTTGATTTTCATTTCCCTAATGAAAAATGATGCTGAACATCTTTTCATGTGCTTATTAGCTGTTTTATCCTCTTTTTAGACAAATGTGTACTCAAGTCTTTACCCATTTTTTAATCAGGTTGTTTGTTGTTGTTGAGTTGTAGTGCTTCATACATTCTGGATACTAGACCCTTATCTGATATATGATCTGCAAATATTTTCTCCAATTCTCCAATTCCACTTTCTTGATAACATCCTTTGATGCACGTAGCTTTTTATTTTGATGAAATCCAACTGACCTGTGAACAGAGATGGTTTTACTTCTTTCTTTCCGATATGGATGCCTTTTTTCTTTTTGTCTAATTTCTTTAGTTAGAACTTTCAGGGCAATGTTGGATAAGAGTAGTAGTAAAAGCAGGCATCCTTGGTCTTGTTCTTGATCCTAGGGACAAAGCTTTCAGTCTTTCACCATGGAGTATGGTATCAGCTGTGGGTTCTTCATAAATGCTATCATGCTGAGGAACTCTTCTGTTCCCAGTTTTCTGAATGTTCGATTATGAAAGGTGTTGCATTTTGTCAAATGTCTTTTGTGTCTATTGAGAGGATTGTGTTTTTTTCCTGCTTTTTAAAATTTTTACTATTTTTTAAATATTTAATTCATTTATTTGTGAGACAGAGAGTGTGCACACAAGCAGGGAGAGTGGCAGGCAGAGGGAGAAGCAGGCTCCCCAATGCGCAAGGAGTCCTCTGAGGGACTCAATCCCAGGACTCTGGGATCATGACCTGAGCCAAAGGCAGATGCTTAACTGACTGAGCCACCCGGGCATCCCTCCTTCTTTCTTTCAATGTGGCTTATTGGCTTCATTGACTTTATGTTAATCATCGCTGCATTCCTTGAATAAATCCCAATTAGTCATAGTGTATAATCCTTTTATATGCTATTAGTCTGATTTGCTTGTATTTTGTTGAGAATTTTTACATCTGTATTCATAGAGGGTATTAGCCTGTAATTTTCTTTTTTCTGACTTTGGTATCAGGGCAATGCTGGCCTCAAAGAATGAGTTAGGAAGTGTTCCTTCCTCCTTAATTTTCTGGAAGACTTTGAGAAGGTCTCGTGTTAATTCTTTAAATGTTTGGTAGCATTCACTTAATGAGGTCTTCTGGTCCTAGAGTTTTCTTTGTTGGAAGGTTTTTTGGTTTGTTTTTAAAGTAGGCTCCATGAACACTGTGGAGCCCAATGTGGGGCTCAAATCCTGAGATCAAGACCCTGAGCCGAAATCAAGAGTTGGACACTTAACCAGCTGAGCCACCCAGGTGTCCCATGTTGGAAAGTTTTTGATTACTGATTCAATCTCTACTTGTTACAGGTTTGTTGAGATTTTCTTGGGCCAATTTAAACAATCTGTTCATTTCTAGGAATTTGTGTATTTCAGCTACATTATCTAATCTGTTGGCATACAGCTGTAGATAGGGTTCTCTTATGATTCTATTTCTGGAAGGTTGGTAGTGATACCTTGACTTGTATTTCTGATTTTAGTCATTTGCATCTTTTTTTTTTCCCCCCAGTCTAGTGTGGTTTTAATTTTAAGTGTGGGAGCAAAGCATTGTGAGATGCTGCAGACACCGCTGGCTCTGTAACTAACAGCCGTTTTTCCCACCTCATGCTTTGGTGCAGAACCCTGATTTTGTTTAGGCACTGACCCCTTTCTCATAGGACTCAAGAATAAATCATGAGTAGTTTAAGCCAATCACAGTGTAGTGGTCCTACTCTGCTTGCCAGTGATTGATTCAGAAGTCACCAAATGACCTAGCTCTGGCCAACGAGACTCCGAGATAGGCAGGCTGGGTGGGTCCTGAGAAAGGTTCCCTGTCATTAAAGATAAAATATGGAGCTTGGAAAGGAAGTCTTTCTTCTGATGGACAATATGAAATCTGCATGTGGTATTTCAAACCATGGCAGCATTCTTACAACCACCTGGGAGCTGGTCAAAGTCAAAACCAGCACCGAGGACAGAGAAGCAGATATACGGAAAAAATTTAGTTCCTTTTTTTTTTTTTCTTTAAAGATTTTATTTATTTATTCATGAGACAGAGGGGGAGAGAGAGAGAGAGAGAGAGAGAAGCAGAGGGAGA